TCTTTACTCTCATTGCCAAGATCTGCAGTTTTTCTTTCTTTTTTTAACCGAATTTACTCATGTACACCACATTTGTTTAGTGTTGAGTCTTCACACCCATTCTCCCCTAAGTGTTGGAGGCTCTTGGTGGGGTTGGTTTTGCACCGGATATCTATGTATTTTATTATTATTTTTATTTATTCATTCATTCATTTTTTAGGGGGACAGGACGCCATCTTCGGCTCTCCTGCAATTGTGCTATTTAAAATTCATGTACTTGCACCTCAAGGTTAGCTCACAGTGACTGACGGTACTTGTTTGGATGTGAAATGTCATGTGATAGTTCTGTCAACACCCAGATGGAAAAAAAAATCCCATCAGCCTGTTGGCAGAAAGAGTGACATGTGACTGTGACTGAGTATAGCGAGAAAACCCTTGTCCTTGATGAGATGATCTTAGGCTGTATTATGAGATGACAAATACTTGCATCATTTCCTCCTTTTGTATAGACATTATTAACCTACTGAAAAAAATATAGAGAGCATTGTGTCCGATTTAAATGTTGTTTTGTTTTTATGTTTTTTGGGGAAGGGGGGATTTTATTGTGTATTCCAGGCTGGCCTCAAATTTACAGAGGTCTGCCTGCCTCTACCTCTCAGTACTGGGGATTGAAGGTGTGCATCACCATGCCTGGTAATTTTTTTTTTTTTAACTCATTGGTAAAGTAATTGCTTAGCATTTAAAAAAGTCCCTGCTTTCAACTTTCAGGGAGTATACCCACACTGAGTTGGAGACTAGTCTCAGTCTAGTTTCTCTATATTTCAAATGAAATTAAGAACAGAAATTTGGCCTTTAGTCCCAGCACTTGGGAGGCAGGGGCAAGCAGATCTCTATGAGTTCCAGGCCAGCCTGGTCTGGCCAGAGCTACACACAGAGAAACCCTGTCTCAAAAAACCAAACCAAACCAAAGCCCCAAGAAATTTGGCAGATTAAGACCACAAACATGTAAGGTTGTAAGTCAGCCACTCTTGAATAATTGAGAACCATGTAACTCAAACACTCCTTTTTCATCCCCTGCCTGCCATCCCTCTTCTAAACATGTTTTCCCTGTCTCTGTGTAGCTCTTGTCTCTGGAACTCTCTGTAGATTAGGCTAGCCTCAAACTCACAGAGATCTGCCTCCTGAGTACTGGGAATAAAGGCTTTTGCACCATGCCTGACAATTTACTCTTTCTCTAAAGTTTACCTTCCTGCCACATGACTGCTTGTTGGCCATATGTCTGATCCCTATACCCACTCAAATGGCATGATTTTCCAAACCTTCTCTTCTCCATTCTCTGCTTTTGAGCAGCAGCTAAGGTTTTATAGCTTTCTTGCTCTGGGATTTTTCTTTTAAATAAGAAATTTACTTTATGAATGTTTTGTTCATATGCATGAGTGTACGTTAAGTGCCTGTCTGGTGCCTGTGGGATCCTGTCATTGTGGGTGTTGCGAATTGAACCCAGGTGCTCAGCAAGAACAACAAGTGTGCCACGTGTTGGTGGCACACACCTTAATCCCAGCACTCGGGAGGCAGATACAAGCGGATCTCTGTGAGTTCGAGGCTAGCCTAGTCTACAGAGTGAGTTCCAGGACGGGCTCCCAAGCTACAGAGAAACCTTGTCTCAGAAAACAAAACAAAAGAACAAATGCTCTTAACTACTGAGCCATCTCTCCAGACTCACTCAGGTCTATCTTTTTAAACTCTAATCAAACTTCCCTTTTTTCATCCATATATATCTGTGAATATATATTCTGAAGTACATATATATAATGTAAACACACACACACACTATACACACACACACACACACACACATACATATGTGTAGTTATAAGTTTTTGAGACAGGACTCGTGTCCCAGGCTGGTCTGGAACTCACTCTATAACTGATAATAAGCTTGAATACTATTCTGCCTCCACATCCCAAGTGCTGATTCAGGATAATGAATGTGTTTATTTGCAACTTGGACAAATTGGAAAGACTCTCTTGTCCTATTCTGTGCAATGTTATAATGTTATAGAAAAATGAACTAAAAGCCAGGAGCTAACTACACATGTGCTGCTCTGTAGGATAATACCATCTGGGAAGGCAAGTCCTTGTCTTTGCTTCCCTCTCGTATGGGTCCTGGGGTAATTTTATTTCCTTGGGTATCTATTGCTCCAAGTCTGACTGCTGAAGAAGGGGTATAAGGGGCTCTGAATTTTTCCTTCCCCAACAGGGCATCTACCTTGACTACTAGATCACACCCCTCTGTGAGCAAGGTACTGAGGAAGAAACATTAGTACTAACAATGGGATGTTTCAGTTGTCTAAATGAGAACACGTTATTGGAGAAGGACAACACAAAAAGTTTCTTTTACCCTCTGAGGTCTCTAGAACTAACCTGTCAGAGGGCAAAATTGCAATGATCTTTCTTTTTGTGGCATCACAAGTTTCCTTTGAATTCCTGATTCTCCTGCCTCAGCCTTCCAAATGCTTACTCTTGGGTACACATTACAATAGTTTACTTTTTTTTTTTTTTTGACATGGTCTCTCCATGTAGCTCACTGGCCTCAAACTCAGAGATCTACTCTCTTATGCCTCCTGAGTGTTGGGATTAAAGGTGTGGGCTACCATTACTGGCTACATTTATTTTTGAGACAGGGTCTTACCTCTGTAGTCCAGGTTGACCCTATGGTAATCCTCCTGCTTCAATATCCTAATCACCCAGTCTCTCAACTACAGCGTGGTTTAACAATCTTATTATTTTTGAGACAGAGACTAATTCACATAGCTCAGGTCACCGTGAACTCTTGGTAGTCCTCCAGAATGCTGGGATTATAGGTGTGTGCCATCACACCCAAACACAATCTTAACTGACTTTGTTTTCAATTAAATTCAAGGCAATTTAATTAAATTAAAGGCAAGGTTTCCTTTGGTAGTGTTTGATGGGATGATCAAGGAAAGGCCAAAGAAGTAATAGAAAACTAAGCCATGGGCCTTTCAAAGTTACTTTCCTAGCATAATGGGCCTAGGGGACCCAGCAATAGAAAGACAATTTATAGGTAAAAGTGAGGTTAAAAGACAGAGGTAACTTTATTATCATGTCAATTGAAACTGGCCAGTTCGGGGAATTGTTTTCTAGGGAGGGCAGTTTCTTAGTTAGGGTTACTATTGTTGTGGTAAAACACCCTGACAAAGCAACTTGGGGCAGGGGTGAGGGTGGGGAAGGGTTTATTAGGTTTACATTTTCACATCACTGTTCAACATAGGAAAATCTGGAGGTCACGGAGGAGTGCTGTGTCCTGGCTTGCTCAGGGTCCTTTCTTATGGAACACAGAACCAACTGAGTAGGGTGGCCCTATCCACAAAGGGCTGGGCCCTCTCACATCAATCACTAATTAAGAAAATGCCTGGGTCTAGAGAGATGACTCAGCGGTTAAGAACATTGGCTGCTCTTCCAGAGGACCCATGTTCAATCCCCAGCACACACACACACACACACACACACACACACACACACACACGGCCGCTTACAACTGTTTGTAATTCCAGTTCCAGAGGATCTGACACCCTCACACAGACATACATGCGGGCAAAACACCAATCGGTGTTCATAAAATAAAAATGAATTATTTGAAAAAAAAAGTGTCCTACAGGTTGCCTACAGCAGATCATTTTCTCAGTTGTGGCTCTCTCTTTTTGATGACTCTAGCTTGTGTCAAATTAATATAATAGTAGGCAGCACAAACAGGTAACAGTTTAGTTTCTGTTTGACTTTTGATCTCAGTGATTCCATTTTGAATTTAGCCCAGTCTGTTTCCCCAGTGAAAAAGCTTAAGTCTACAAAAACAACCTGTTGTAACTTTTAATCTAACAAGCCTATTACATAGATGGGCAGTAGGCACATTAACAGAAGAAAGGTAAAACAATATTGTGCTCATGAGGGCACTATGTGAACATCAATATTCAATATTCAGAACTCTTGTTAGAGTCAAGGCCGACGAATCCCTAAGGTCAGTTGTTTAGTTTTGGAGGTTGAGTCTTTAGGCTGATGAGCCTGGCTTGGGGAAGCCACATTGGAACTATTTGTTTCTCATCACTAAGTAGCAGAAATGTGCATAATGCCTTCTGTCTAGCATCTCAGGTAAACTGGGCTTGGTGGAGGTTTGTAATACAAAACCAGCGGTCCCAGTTACTTTCCAGTCTTGAGATGGAAAGTTCAAGGTCAGAGGTGGAATTTCAGGGGCGTGGCACTCTGTCTTAAAATAAAAAAAAGAGGGTGAGGATAGGGCTCAGGGGTAGAACGCTTGCTTAGCACGTGCCTGGCCTTGGGGTCAATGTCATTGGGGAAGAAAATTCATTCTCGAAAAGCAACAAAATAAAACAAAACAAACAAACAAACAAATAAAAACAAAGGGAAAATTCTGTGTGGTGAGGTGGTTGAAAATCAGACTCTGGATTCTACTCGGCATTCCAAGTGATTAAGGTTGGGGACAGGGGCACTAAGGATTGTCTCGCTGGTTGAACTGCCTGAACCTCGAGTGTGCTAGCCTTTCTTCCAAACCTCAGGACTACAACTCTCCCAGTCCATAAGCCGTGTGAGTCACACTAAGCTATCTTTGATCGCTATCTCTAAACTTTCTGGGTCAGTTTCCACCATCTGTGAGCGTCCTTCCTCCCTGTGTGCTTCAGGGCAACCGCAGGGTCAGTCACTCAGGGTCGCCCACAAGTCGCCACCGGCTTTGGAAGCTTCCAGGCCCCGAGGTAGCGCAGGATGGCTCTTCCCGCTCTACTTTGCCGCCTTCACTTATAAAAAGAGAATCTCCTGAGTTTCACCGTCCAAGGCTGGCGGAATCTTTCAAATGCTAAACTGGCGCTGTGGAATCCGACGCTATCCGAAGCCGGTAAAAGCAGGCGCACTTGCGTGGCTTCAGTCCGGGCGGAAGTCGACGTCGCCGCGCCGCCACCGCATGACGCACTTCCTGTTTGTTGTTGGAGAAAAGGAGAGAAAGGAAAGCGCGAGGAGACGCCGCCACCGCCGCCAGCGCAGCTGTGCCAGAGCCGCGAGGAGACCGGCCGCCCGACTCCCCCCCCCCCCCCCGCCGGCCGCCGCGTCCTCGGTGAGGGGCCTGCGGAGCGGGGTGGAGAGCAGGGTTGACTGTGGCGGGAGGGGGGAGGGCCGGCGGCTAGGTGCGGATAGGATGACCTGCTCGGCGCCTGGGACACGGGCGCAGGGAAGCCGGGCCGACCGCGGGACCGGGACTGCCCGCCGGGGCCGAGCGGGTTCCAGTCCAAGCTTTGGTCTAGAGTCTAGGCCTGAGGCCTAAGTTGTTCCTGGTCTGGGCCGCGGCTAGACTGGGTCCCTGGAAAGCGTCTGCCGTGCCGGATCAGGCCTACCCCGGGGCTTAGCCGGGGTCCGCTCCCTTGGCTCCCTTGGTCTGCAGTGGCGGTTGGGCCCGGCACGCGCGACCTCCGCCACAGAGCCACAGGAGTCGGCGAGGCTGGAGTCACCCTGTCCTGGCATCCTCAGTGCATTCTGCAAGCAAGGGGTCAGGTGGCGTGCGAAGAGCAAGACTCTATGGGAGGCGCGTTCGCCGGCCCGGGCTGCCTAGGGGACCGGGTGGGAGGGCCGAGGAGGTTTCCAAGCTCATCCTGGGACTGTTGGAGGAAAGTTTGCTAGGTGACCTACCTGGCTCAGTTTACTTTCAAAACCCATTTACTGTTAGATTTGCTGTGGGTTTATGTAACTAAAGTTTATGTAATTGAAGTTTACATTAAGTCTTAATTCGCTTCGGTTGTGTAGACAAGGGAAGTCTGCACTGGAAGCCATAAAATTGTCTTGAATAAAAAAAAAAATTGGAGACGGCGATTTTTATTTTACAGAATGGGTTGTTGTTTGTCCGAAGTTTTAAAGCTTGTCTACCGAAGTTATGTGTGGACTGTAGAAAGTGAACGGAGGGGATGGACCCACCTCCCCCGGCACGCCCAGGCAGGTGGGGAGTGTCCGTCCAGTGCACCCACTTTGTTTTTATTAAAATCTTTATTGGAACCATAGATTTGTGGTCAGATTTTATGGTTAGTAACTCCATTGTATCCCCCCCTTTCTAGGCTCTGTAATCTAGGGAATTGAACTCCGGACTTTCTGCTTGCTAGGGAAGTCAGGACTTCTTTAAGGCAGCTGCTTTAGTAGAAAAGTTAGACTTAAGCAGCCAGAGGAGGGAACGGCCTCAAAGAAAATGCATCCTGGACGTTTGAACTTAGCCTGTTGGTTCAGACTTCAAGGTATCTGAAAGGAATTGGGCGCATGTGTTCCAGGACTCTTCCCCTCTTCCCTTTGGGGTGTCAACGACCACAGGGAGAATTGGCCTCTGGTGTGTGCTGACTACTTATGTGAGCAGTGCAGGTACTTGTATTGAACTGCGTGTGGAATCTTGGAATCAGGGAAAATAAAAAAATTTGGGAAGAAATGCTGCTTTTGCGCAAGTATGGGTGATGAGATAAAACAGTTTGTGAAGTAAGTTTTCTCTCCTGCTGCTGTTTTGCACAGGCAGACCTCTGACATTTTGGCTTTTCTGTGTCTGCCTTTTGAAGGAGGATTGACCTTGTGTGTGTGTGTGTGTGTGTGTGTGTGTGTGTGTGTGTGTGTTTTGAGGCAGGAATTCTGTATAACCTCTGTATTGAACTCAGATTTGCCTGCCTCTCCCTCTGTGCTGTAACTAAAGGGTGCCCCGCCATACCCAGCCAGGCTAACCTTTTTTTAAAAAAGATTTATTTATTTATTTATTATATATACACAGTGTTCTGGCATGGAGAGAGCCAGATCTCATTACAGATGGTTGTGAGTCACCATGTGGTTGCTGGGAATTGAACTCAGGACCTTTGGAAGAGCAGCCTGTGCTCTTAACCTCTGAGTCATCTCTCCAGCTCCCAGGTTGGCTTTTAAAATACTTTGATTTGTGTGTGTATATGAAATGTGCATGCTATGGCACAATAGTGGGATTCCTCCATACATCTCTCGTGCTCTCTCTTGTTAGTACCAACCCTCTGTGTGTGTGTGTGTGTATACATACACACACACAGTACCAGGTCTGAACTTGTGCCTTTTTTTTTTTTTAAGACTTTAAAGTTTCACTGTGTAGCCTTGGAACTCAGTGATCAGTTTGACTCTGCCTCCCAAGTGCTGGGATTAAGGTGTGCACTACCATCTTCTTTTTTTTCTTCTTCCTCTTCTTTTTGCTACAGGCTTCACTCTTTAGCAGAGCTGGGTTAGAACTAGGCATGTAGGTTAGGCTTGCCTGGATAGAATTCACAGACACACCCCTAGGGCCAGGACTACAGTAGTATTCTCCCATGCCTGGCCCAGAGTACAACTTTAGGAGTCAATTCTCTCCTTTCATGTGTTACTGGGGTGGAAGTTAAGTTGCCAGACTTGTGGAACCTAACTATTTGGCTAGCTAACCCAGCTTCATAGCCTGAGAAATTGGCCTTTTAAGTTTTCTTTCTTTCTATCTCTCTTTCTCTTTCTCTTTCTCTTTCTCTCTCTCTCTCTCTCTCTCTCTCTCTCTCTCTCTCTCTCTCTCTCTCCCTCTCTCCCTCCCTCCCTCCCTCCCTTCCTCCCACCCAGCCACCCAGCCACAGGGTTTCTATGTTTAATGGTCCTGGCTGTTCTGCAACTAGCTCTGTAGACTAAGGCTAGCCTCGAACTCACAGAGATTTCCCTTTCTCTGCCACCTGGAGAAGTTGGCTTTTGGAGTTGGTTTTGTGGCAGTGGAAGATGGAATTAGATTATTTTGTTTTTCAAGACAGTGTTTTTCTGTGTAACAGCTCTAGGTGTCCTGGAACCAGGCTGACCTCGAACTCAACAGATCTCCTGCGTCTGTCTCCCGAGTGCTGGGATTAAAGGCGTGCTTCACCACCACAGGCCAGATCACTGAGTTTTAGTGTGGAACACTTTGGTGGTAACACACACCTTTCATTCCAGCAATGGGAGGCAGAGACAGGCACACCTCTTAAGTTCAAGGCCTGGTTTACAGATGGAGTTCAGGACAGCCATATACAACTAAACCATCTTGGAAAAAAGGAAGAAATTATTGCTTGAGGCAGAGATAGGCAAGTTTCCGGTGTTTCAGGTCAGCCAGGTCTACACATAGTGTGAGACCTTACCTCAAAATCAAAACAAAACCAAGAAACAAACTAAAAAAAGAAAAAAAACAACAACAACAACAACAAAAACATGCAAAACTGCCTTTAATCATAGCATTTCCGGAGGCAGAGGAGTTCAAAGCTATCCTGGTCTACAGAGTACATTCTAGACCACCCAGAGCTACACAGAGAAACCCTATCTTGAATAACCAAAACAAGCTCTATATTTTTGTTCTTATGATGCCAGCGTTAGATGTGTGAGGTATTTGGGTTAAGGACAAATAGTATACCGGGGTGGTGAGTATTCTTGCATACTGTGAAGACTGAATTAGCAATTCCTCTGAATAGTGGCTCCACTTTTTAAGCAGGCCTGTTAGTATTAAGTGATAGTATCATTTTCCTGTTTAAACCAGTAGCGTTGGGCCCATAACAACTCTTAAGTTTTGCAAATGCAAAACCCAGATTAGGGTCAGTCCAGTTTAGCACATCACAAGAGTTTTGAAGAAGATACTGTCCAGTAGATACCTGGTATGACAGTGTGTCTTTTACATTGTTTAGTGCTTAAGGATGCTCAGACACTCTCAGATCACTTCTGATACTTTCCCAAAGAACAAGTGAATATATCAAAATCAACTTTTTTACTTGATTTTATTTTCCTCCTTTGTTTTAGATAGAGGGTCTCAGGTACTTTAGGCTGGTCTAGAACACATTCTGTAGTGAAGGATAACCTTGGATTCCTTCTGCCTCCATCTTTCTCAAAGCTGCTGGGATACAGGTGTGTATCGCTATGTCCAGCTTTGCAGTATTCTTAAAGACTTGACTTTCAAGTGGTCCTGTGTTAAGGCTGGTTCAATTCACGCAGGACACCATCTGGTGGTGAAAGACCTGCAGTTGCAGATGTTGAGTGTGTAGGAGGGATTAGAGTGGTGATTAAATGTTCTGCTTTTTTTTCCCTCACAGAAAGAATTTTAGAGAGTTTATTTAACCTTGGGAATAAAAACAAGGTCAATGTGGGTCTGTAATTCTAGTATTTAAGAGGGTACAGCTGGAGAATATTAGGCAGAGGCTATTTTGGCCTCTAGAGTGAGACCCCTACCTCATTAAGAGAACAAGCAAAAGCCTGAGGTTAATGAGGTGGACAGTGAGCTGATGAAAAGAACGAGACAAATAATAATATTGGACCAGTGAGATGACTCAGCAGATACAGTGACTACAGCCTGAGGACTAGAGCTTGATTCTTGGGAGCAACATAGGGGTGGGAAGAGAGAATTGATTTCTTAAAAGTTGTCTTCAGAATGCCATGTGTGCCCCTCAATGAGATCCACTAGAAGGGAGAAATGGGCCATTTTCTGACCGCAGTATTACAAGCAGGGTACTTTGCTTTCTGAGTGCTCCCCAAGCATACTGTTAAAATTCCTTAAACTTCAACTCTGCTTTAGAAGTTAAAGAAAACTGGAAGCCTGGAAACTGACTTACTAGATAAGTCAGCTGGTAGGAATGCTTTCTTTCTTTTTTTTTTTTTTAAAGGATGTTTTGAAACAGGGTTTCTTAGTGTAGCCTTAGCTGTCCCGGAACTCACTCTGCAGACAAGGCTGGCCTCAGACTCAGAGATCTGCCTGCCTCTGCGTCCTGAGTGCTGGGAATAAAAAGACACCACCATTGCCTGGCTTGGATTTTGTTTTTGTTTTTGTTTTTGTTTTTGTTTTGAGACAGGGTCTCTGCATAGTCCTGGCTGACCTGGGCTAGCCTCAAGTTCACAGATGTCCTCCAGTTTCTGCCTCCCAAGTGATGATATTAAAGGAGTGTACCACCATGTCTGGTTTAGGAATTTTGTTTTTATTAGATAATGCTGTGAATATAAGTTGTTTTGTCAGACTTTTGGATAGTTAAGGAAGATCACACTTGACTACTTCCTTATTACTCTGCTACTTGAGAATGCAAAATGCTAGAATACTTTTATCTCCTCGGATCACAGTGT